ATCTTGCCTGAGTGACTGTAAATTTTCATCTATGCGAGAAATGTTTCCCTTGAACCTATTAATTTCAGCTAACTGAAGAAAATGACATTTCTTTAGGAATTACATACATGAAGATTTGTAAGCTTCTGCAAAGTTTTGAAGTCCGAGTCATTTATCCCAATGCAAGTATAATGAAACCACCTGCCACGTGGATCTTCGCAACCCACCAGACCATCTGATTTGATTTTGCGATATTTGGCACATTCTGACATCGTTAGTAGTTACTTTATTAGGCTACAAAGACAGTGCAGTCGATACAAAAAAAAAACGAGAAGTATTAATTTATCGAAGGTGATTATTTTTATGAAAGTGAGTAAACCATGGAGTTAGACGGTAGGGAGACGCTATTCGCAAGGTGCAAAGTATATGGTGGGGACAGTCGAATCGACAGCAGCGTTCGCAGTGGACAAAGTAGGCATTAAATCTGGATTTTGTTGTGAATAAATTAATATAAGAATTTAAATATCTCCTGAACGGTTGGGTTTACGAACATTTTTCGTTTCTGCTAATTTGTAGAGAACATTTTTCTCCGTCGAATGGTGGGTAATTAATTTTCCCAAGGTTATTAGTTTTTTAGTTTTAACAAAAATTTAAATTGAATTACATTTAGTTTTTAATTATTACGCCATTATATCAAAACCTATTAAGTTTTAGAAAATTTTGCAAGAATACAAATTTGGTAATCATTCTTTTTTCTTGCCCACAAAGCAATTCCTATACTTTTATCTTTAACCATTCAGAAGTAATAGGGATAAATCTTCACGGCATACGATAGCCTGAATATGACATAATAAACATATTCGCTAAGCAAAATACAGTTTGTTTTTCTCGGTCTTTTGACGTTTTGACAGTTAACATTACTTATTCTATACGAAAAATGGGACATTCTACTTGTTGCGTTGTGAATTGCAAAAATACAGGAAAAAAGAGCGAAATGGATAGAAGCAGTTAGAAGAAAAAAGTAAGTAATGTACAACCTAACTTTTACCTTTTCTTATAATTAAAATAATATTTTTATAGTCTTGATGGATCACCGTGGATTCCAAAACCAAATGATTGCATTTGCTGCGATCATTTTATTGGAGGTAAAAAATCAGAAGAGGAGGCAAGTCCACGCATTTTCTAAATTCTTTCACTTCTCTGACATGATCTGCCCTTACCAGTTGTTTTCCTTTGTACATAGTTTTAGGTTGAAATAATATCTTATGAGATATTGCCTCAAGTCCTGTTTGAATATTGATGTTCATTGGCAGAGAATTTATTAAAACATATTAATAGTTGAAATTTTTAAACTAACCTTTTTTGACAGTTAACTTAATACTATTCTTATGCTCTTCTTTATTTTTGGCCTTTATCTATTCAGCATTATTCTTTTTAAAATAAAATGTATTTTATACTCATTAAAATTACTTATACTTACAGCCGTATGCATAGTTGATCGCCAGCGATTCATTTCGGCGTATCACCAGCGATTCGCTGGCGATCCGCCGGCGAAAGCCCAAAAAGCTGGCGACTCGCCGAAGATTATCACCGGAATGTCATTTCACGCAAGTTTTTATTTTCTTTTATCGACTATGCATACGGCTGTTACTTTTTTAATCGCGATATGTAATATTTACTATTTATTTAATATTTATCACGTATTACACTTATATTTTACAGAGATTTTCTTTTTATTTTGTATTTATAAAAATTTTGCATGTAATTCATCATTGATAGAGCCAGATTTAATGCAGTCACAAGATGTCGCTTCCTTCGCGCACCCGGCGAATAAGCATCTTTTTCAAACATTCAAAACGGTTTCCTACATTTTTTTTTTTTTTTAGAAAATGTAAGTAATATTTATTATTAATAGTTATAAAACAGATAATTAAAGTTATATTTACTAATTTTTAGTAATTCCACCGAGAATTCCACCTATTGATAAAATAAGTTTTAAGGAATAAAAAACCACACATTTTACTAAAAAAAGGTGGATAAATTTAAGTAACAGCTTCTTTTTATTATTTGTTCACATTAAAAACAAACGTCTAACATCCATTGAGGAATATACTGTAGGCTCTTTTAATTTTTTTGTCAATGAACAAAAATATTTGTAAAGCTTCCTGGACTGTACACAAAGCCTTTTTTAAATGGAACAGTCTTGATTTTAAAGCACTTGCCCCGATTTATCATGTGTCCCGCTTTTTTCTAACGAAAAAATTATAAATATTTCAATGTTTATGGTGACGTGACAACCCACTCTTTTATATATTTTTTTGCTCTTCAATTAACCAAACCTTCACTAATGCAAAGAGAAATATCTTAAATATTTCCTTGTTTTCGATTCATCCCGCTTTCTACTTTTCAAAATATGATCACTTTAAATACATGTATATAACAATATATTTTGTAAATCCCCATGGCGTGGGATTTTGTAAATTATTTGATCATGCTTAATATCGTCTGACACACTATCGCAGCTTTCTAATAAGCCAAGAGCTCTATTGTCTCTTGACCATTCGTTGATTTGACACACAGGATATTTTAAAATTCGAAGTCTTTCTAGAGAAATACAATGCCCACGAAAATTTTCAGGTACTTCAACAATAACCTACTAAAAATTTTTGTGAGCTACGAATTTATTTTCAAACTTAAAAGAACTCATTTCTTTCAAGATTTTCATGTGAAATATCATATATCAACGTGAAAACAGTATTTTTAAAGCCAATGAGAATTTAAATTCTTAAAAGAAATTTAATACTCTTGAAATAAACCAAAAAAAAACAAACTGCGGGTTTTCACTGGCTTTAAAAATATTGATTTTACGATGACGTATGACATTTCTCATGAAAATCTTAAGAAAAATCACTTTCTTTTGAGTTTGAAAATAGCCCCCCAGAAATTTTTGGGCGGTGGAGTTATTGTTGTGACCTCCATGTAAGCGAAAATAATCAAAAAACAGCTCTATATTGTCTTGAGAGATCTGGCATATTGGTAAAAACTATAAATGTGAATCGGTGCTGTAAATTACATGTTTTTAAGGCACTGATATACTTATCCATGTCTTTTAAAAAAAAGTCTATACCTTAATAATTTTTTAAAGACAAATGCTTTTTATGTTGAAACAACTAAATTTATACAATTTAAGATAACAAAGAGATCATTTGTAAATATAATTCATCTTTACCAAACCCTAATATGGTTACAACTCTCTCTCTCAAAGCACAATTATTATCTCAATTTCCCAAATACGGCCCTGTAAATTGTTTACTATGTTTTATACTTAGTTGTGGAATGTTATTTTAGATAATTTCTTCCTATGAATATCTATTAGGTTGCTACAAATACGTTGAGCACAAGCAAGCATTGTTTAAATTTTAAAATGTACAATATATTTAGTTTGCAAACGACATAAAAATAGAAAAAACGTTGATTAAAACCACGATTCGCTATTTGAAGGATTCGTGAACACACTATGGCGGAAGTGAACCCGTCTTGGGCTCCGTACCTTTTACCTCCATGAAATAAACCATCACAAAATGCGACAATATCTTCAGTTGCATCATAACGGTTCATTTTTGTCCAGGCAACATGGTATAGGTACAGTTGTGTATTTTGTGTTGTGGTCCTCATGGAACCTAACTTTTGTATTAAACATGACTTATTTGTTAGTACAGGATATGTAAGTAAGGTCGACCTTCACCCATCTGTTTAACGCATGAAAGTTTTTTTTAATAAATAAAATATGTTAATATATACCGCAAATGGGTTGTCTAAGAAAATATGATCACAACCATTTTTTACTTTCATGATAAAAGTTGCTTTTGATGCCATTCTCTATAATTTTGTTCCTATACATAATTTCCCTAAAATAAACCTAATTCGAGATATTTGAGGAAAAGTGCAAATTTTGAATTTTAAAGATAAATCAAAAACTGATAAAGAAAAAAACACAAAATTTTAAACTCAAGCTTTAATCCATCCTGCGGTGAGCTGATTAAAGTTTGGATATAGTCGAAGCACCTTAGGAATACTTTACAGGGTGTCGTCTTTTTTTTACTTTAAGAAAATAAATAGTCAAGTACATTTTCTTAGGCAACCCATTTGCGGTATATTTAAAAACATATTTAACTTAATAAAAAGAAACTTACTGTTAAACATATGGGTGAAGGTCGGCCTTAGACCATGTCGAACGTGAGTTCGGTATTTTTATCTAGTCAATAGTCAATTGCAAATGTTAATTGTCTGGGGATTTGTCAAAAACTCGACGTTGTAAAAAGGAGGCAGGTGTGTAAATGGTGGAAATGGAGGGATATATTGGATTTTATGGTAAATTGGTAATCTTTGCTAGTCATAAGGGATTATTTAAATAATTTGGAGATTTGTGGTTAAGCAGATGAATTGTGTATTTTTTGTGGATATTATTCATTGGGTAAGTACATTTTTAATTTATATGAAAGTATAAATTTAATAGCTTTTATTATTAACTTTTTCGCTTGTATTTGCCAATTCAGGTGATGTGACGTTTTTGTACTAGTTCACTGCAGTTGTTAATTTTATCATAGTGGTGTGATATACTGTAAAGTGACAGTAGATTTAAAATAGAGAGATATCGCAAATTTCTATAACGTCAGCCACTAATAGTAACAACTTAATTAAAGACAAAAAAATTCCATGCTAAAATAAGAATTATTGAAAATCTGAAATTTTTATATTAGATTACTTATCCTTATATATATTTCAAACCTCATTTATTTATTACCAAATTTATTCCATTTGGCTGTTCCACACTGTATAATTACAAAATAAAAAAATATTACAAATAATACAATCATGCTTAATACAATTTATAATAGTTATCAACGCTCTATATTTTTATTCTAAATAAAAATCTATCAATTTTAAAGATTGCTATAGATAAAATCTAATAGTTTTGTATAAAAAGGTAAATTGCCGTTGCGATTCAGCTCATTTTAAAAATGAAGATAATTGTTTTACTGTTTTCGCTAATAACTTTTTGTCAATCCTCCCCTGGTAAGTAGAAAAAATATTTTTATTATCCTTTGAAAATAACAAAATGCTGCAAATAGGTACAACGAAGGTTGTCACACTAGTATAACAAAGAAAAACATGAAACAAAATGTATCTGTTCTTTAATGCTTTCGTATTTGTATACAGATAAGGAAAGTATAGGAATCGTTTTTTTCGACCTCGAGTTTTCGACGGTTTTTTACGTTTTGGGGTCCCCTGAATCCGTTTCGACTAATTTCGCGATGATGTCTCTGTGTGCGTGCGTGCGTGTGTGTGTATGTGTGTGTTGTGTATGTTTTAATTTTAAACTTAAGCTTTATTTCGGCCTCCAGTGAACTGATTAGATTTTGGTCAGAGTCGGAACATCTGGGTGGGGGTACTTTATATCTGTTATGTATGTTTGGAGGAGTAAATTCTCCAAATAAAAGTTGCTTCCAATATTATTCTCTATAATTCTTGCTTTATACCAAATTTTCCTGAGATGATCTGTATTCGAGAAATTTGACAAAATGAGCAAAATTCTGATTTTTAAAAAAATTGTTAAACTAAAAGTTGTTTGCGATATCGATCTCTATAATTTTGTTTCTTACATGATTTTTCTAAAATGGACCGTAATGGAAAAATTGTAGGAAAAGTGTTAAATTTGAATTTTTCAGGATTATCGTTTTCAATGAATATATATAGAAAAATGTTTCGAGTTAGATGTATGTGGAAAATGTATATATTAAGTTTATTTTCTAAACATTTATAGGTATTACAATAGGTTGTTCAAAATAACCGGAAAAAGCCTGTAATAACTAGATAGGAAAGTCATTTGTTGGACACATCAGATTTTTTTTTATCTGTTTATTTTTTGAGCATATTTAGCATTCATACGTATCTCCTTTTTATAAATACAACTCATTATTGATGAATAATTTAAGTTGTTTAAACTTTGATTTTTTTAAATATACGCTAGATATCTTTTAACAATTAAAACAATTTTGAAAAAACTATAGGTATAATAATTTTATATTTTTTGGTTAATACACATACTTGGTTAGATACAAGCGCGTAGCTAGGTTGTTTTCTTGGGGGAGGGGGGTAACACTTCACATTATTGGTGAATGCGCAGCGTGTTATCTTAGAATATGGTACCAATGCAACGTCTAGAGTTCATATATGTATTTCCAGAAAATAATGAGTTTTTTAATGAAGTTTTTAATTTTTTATATATTTATACAGGGTGTTTCAGAATAAAATACCGTAATTTTGGGGATTTACAGATCTTAATCAATTATAAAGAAAAGCTAAATTTTCCTATAAACGTCCCAGTTTTCATTCTATAGGGTGATAAAGTGAATTTCATAAATAAATATTTTCGAAATATCTTCCCTTACAGTAAAGACTTTAACCTAAAAATATTTATATGAAAGGCAATCGTTATTATTAGTTAACACACTATTGTCAAAAATTACCATAACTCATTGGCGTAGAATGAATGGATAAAGAAACAATTTTATCCAAAACTTTTTGAACACCCTACATTTCATAAAACTTAAGATTAATAAATATTTCTTACGTCATTTGTCACAAAAAAGGGACTTCTGGTTGATCTTTGTAGACTATTCCATTTCCGAGGTGATACAACTGATTTATTTTATACAGAGTGTTTTGAAACATGTCTTAAATATGGCTAATTTTAAGTTCAATTTACTCAATTTTCTCAAATGCAGCACACTGTATATTATTTTCGCATAAAATTCTTTATAAATTTACCTATGCAACCAAGGGCGGATCCAGGGGGGGGGGGGGGCATGCCACCCCCTTACATTAACATTTACAAACTTAATACATCAGACAACTCTTTATAACACTTTATTATTTGATCTTTGCTACAAACAAGTCACAATTACTATATCCCTTTCAGCACGAGAAAATAAAGCTTACCGATTTTATGGAAACTCGCAACATTTGATTATTAGGATATAAGTTGATGATAAAAAATACTCAAAAAAAAAGTACCCACACGATTGTGTATGTTAGGCTTTAATTTATACAAAATACACTTTAAAAGGAAAAAATTGAAAACAATTTATATTTTATGAAACCTTAAAAAACAGTTTTGATCTTTCGTTAAACATAAATACACATTACATTTGAGACATCTTGTGCGTATTCTACTCTTGCAACCTGAATTTCGGCAAGATCTTGCCGTGGTTAAGGAATCTACCGTAGGAAAATGTTTATATCCATCTAATCTTTTGTCTTTTGCAAGTAAAGGGGCTCTATAGTTTTGGGGTCTCCGGGGTTCATCTTCTTTGCTTTCAACTTCATCACCATTATCATCTGACCTCTTTCTTCTAAGTGTGGCTAGTAATGCTTCCGCAATTTTCATCCGAAAAGGTAAAAGATCTTTATTTTTTGCCTTTTAAACACCTGTTGCTCTACAATCTTCACGATATTCCATTCAAGAGTTAACAACCCCGAAATCTATACAATGGAGAATAGTTTTTAAAGTCCAGTTTTTGTTTTTATAAAAGTTCTATAATACTCAAGCTGCTGGTCGAGAATATCAACGCCACCCATGTTATCATTGTAGCTTTCAACTATTTTAGGACATTTAACATCCACGTGCTGTTTTTCCTTTTTGCACCATCTTTTTACCGTATGTTTAGGTTCAACCCTAGAGGCATTTGAAAGCAAAGTAACCGTTTTTTTATTCTTCCGTTTTACTGCAACCATGTTTTGCTCATTAGAACAAAGTTGCTGACTCTCTCCTCTAGCAAATGGATTCTATGGCTTCAAAGTTACATTACTAATTCTATTGTTTATGACGGTCCGTGTTTCATAAATTCTTAATTCACTGAGCTTAATAATTAGCACAGGTGTAGTAAAGTACTATCAAAATGTACAAAACTAACCTTTGGTAGTGATGAACAAAGTCTCAGAACAACTGCAGGATCAAACACATATTCTATATCAGGAATAGGAGTACGCTGTACCTGGTAAATCTCAGTCAAGAGCCTTACCTATCGAGGATGCAAGAACAAAGTTCTTCAATCCTGTCGCCCTAGGTTTTCCTTTAACAAACTGTCTTAAATCGCAACGACCGATAAATGGAATCATTTGCTGATCAATACTCCAGTTGTTGACTGATCTGTCGTTTTTCAAACAAGCATCTCTTACAGAATCAATTATGGGCTGAACTTTCCACAACCGGTTTGTAGTGTGAATGTCTGGTTGATTATCTGTATCAATGAAATGTACACACATTCTAAGTAATGTCAAGAGATCTTTAGTAAAAATATCGGTAATACTTTGAAGCTTAATTTCTGATTTTCAGTACCAGTGCAAACGCGGGTAAGGGATTTAACCACAAACGAGATGTGCACCATAAAGTTTCTTTATTTCAGTCGAAGTTGTATTAAGTATTTTACCTTTTTTAGACAAACAATACATGTTCTTATACTTCGCTGCCTGACTCTCCGAAAAGTATTTTTGAAAGTATTGCAGTGGAATTTTAATAACAACGTCTGTCCTATAGACTAAAAAGTCTTTCTTATTTGACTTACCTTCGGCACTTTAAAATACCTTAGTACTGCTCCATGTAAATTTAAGTTTTTTCTTTTTCGAAAGACGGGAAATCTGACTTCCTTCATGATTTTCAACTACGGTAGAGGGACCTGGAGGAGCTTGACTTATTGTATTTTGTGACTGTTCTATGTCATCATCTTCTAAGTGTGAATCGCTCTCTTCAAGATTTCTTAAAGGAACTGTACTGTAATAAAGCCAAGTTGGATCAGCATTTGTGTCATTAAATTCTATGTCAGAATCATTATTCAATAATTATAAAAGTTCATCCACATCTTGCTACTTGTTAAGGTTGTAATCTAAAAAAAGCACTCACGTAAACAAACGAGTAGCCTACACAAACGTGTAGGAGCAGATAAAGCACTACGAACGGACCTACACAACTTTGTATGTTCAAGTTTAATGACAAATTTAGACAAGAAATTAGAGTTTTTCTTTCAATATAACTCTATGGTTAGTTACTACTATATTTGTAATTTATAAACATGCAGTATTACGTTCAAATTATTGTGTTTTGCTAAAAAATAGTACTTACATTTGTTGCCAAAAGGTCGGCTGTTTATCTTGCAAAAATAAAACACTATGAACGGATAACCCAAATAAACACACGTGGCTTGATGCCGGTCTCAACGCTTAACTGATACCCACACAAGTGTCGCTCGTACAGAACGTTCGGATTCCCTATTTTAGAGTTGAAATTGAATTTTAAACAAAACCTACACAATCGTGTAGGCAGGTGCAAAAAGGGTTATATGGTATTGAATATTGCGCACATATTATATACCGGAGACTTTAGAACAAGGTAGGTTCGTGGTGTAGACAAATAAATGATATTTTTATGTCTAGTTTCTAATCTAGGCACTACAAAACTAATTTTACTAAACTAAACAAACCATGAATGATAGGGCGATAAGGTTTCGACGAAATGCCAGAGACTTAAAATCAAATGTTCATAATAACTCAAAATGGTCAAACCCTCATTCAGGATATTAGTTGTTGCATTTAAAAAACATGTATTTGAGAAATTTGCGTTGTACATATTCTACAGCCTCTATGGCATTTTAATGTATTGGGAGACCAAATATTAACAGCATATTCTAACTTACTTCTAATAAATGTTTAATTAAAAGTTTTTAATGCATGAATACAGTTACGAACACAATAACTCAACATCTTGCATAATGAGCTAACTGTGTAATTAATATGTTCTGAAAAAGTAAATTTTAAGTCGAACCAAACACCGAAATCCTATAATATATGGCATCTTTCAAATTCTTTGTTGTGTATTTTATACTTAAATAATATTGGTTCAGTCTTTCGTGTAAATAAAACAATTTGCATTAATCGATCTTTAGTTGAAGAAAGTTTGAATAGCACCAAGGCCTAACAAGTTCTAAGGTATTTTGAAGTATAAAGCAGACTTCATTTTT